TGGGTGGCTCAGTCACTTGGGTGTCTGACTTCAGCTCAGGTCATGATCTCACAGTTTGTGGGTTTGAGCCCCACATCGGATTCTGTGTCTCCTTCTCTCTCTGCCCCTCCCCCACTTGTGCTCTGTCTCTGTCTCTCAAAAATAAATAAATGTAAAAAAAAATTTTTTTTAATTAAAACAAAAACAACAACAACAACAAAAACAAATGAGGAAAACTAAGGCTCCTAGAATTGAAGTCCCTTACTCAAAGTCACACAGCTAGTGAAAGGCAGAGCATGATTCCATTTCCAAAGAATTGATCAATTTCGGAGGCAATGGAAGTCTTATCATGAAGGACTAGTAAGGGATGGTGATAGGATAGAATGGAAAAGGGGGATTGCTGGGCTGCATTCGGGGCCAGGAAAACTGTAGGCCCAGGCTCTGCCCCAGTTTGCGATGACACAGTTCACTGGATGTCTCTGGAATTAATCTCAAACATGAGAGTTTTGAACTAGATTTTACTAGATTTTATTTCCTTAAGTGACTTCTGGCTCTGCAGTTTTATGATTCTCTATGTTTGTCATGCCTTATAGGGCCTCTTTACAACCAGGCTCCATGAGCTTAAATTCATTTTTCCCGTAGAACTTTATTCCTGCTTCATCTTCTCAGTACTTTTCCTCAATCACATCCTATAAAGCAGGGCTAATTGTTCCCCTACTACATGCCCATTGTCCTACTGTGAGCCATTTGCCGGTCTGTGTCCTCCATAGACTGTTATCTCCTTGAGGCTAGAGACTAAGATTTATTTGTCTTTTTTCCCATACATGCTGCCTGGAACAGTTCACACATTTGTGGAAATTTTTGTTTAATTAAGTATTTAAATCCACAGAAAGTCCTTTTTGAATAAAGTGTGAGAGGATAGCCTCAGGCTGTGCTGGACCTAAGGTGGAGACCCAGAGAGACCTTTTCCTTTATGTTCTTTATTTTATTAGAGGTCCAGGAGAAACAGTAATGGAGTGGCTAGGGAGAAGAATCATCAGATGACTTAGCTCCTTGGTGTGTGTTGATGAAATCTGAAGTTTGATCAGTGCTTAAACATCAGTGACAATCCAAACCCTTCCGATATGGAATGGCCCCCACTTAATTTAATGTCATTTTACTTTATAAGATAGTTAATAAACAGGTACTGTGTTTGATCTTGTGAGCATAGACCTCTGTATTTAGTTTTTCAGCTTTAATGGAACTATAATTTTAATCATGATTATTACTTTACATTTTAATTATAATTTGGTGTGGCTTAAGTATACATTTCTGAGAGTGATTGTGTAATGAAAACAGGAATTAGCTTTTCATTAACAAAATAATGGGAGCGTTCCCATTGCATTCTAGTCTGTGTTCAAAATCTATGGGCTGGCCTAAAAATAGCAAAGGGAGTTTAACATTTTGGTTAAAAACATGCTTCTAAATTGGATGTGTTCACAACCCAGTCTCTTTTGCTCCATCTTGCTTTATCTTGTTCCCTTTCTTTTCAAAGTACAAAATAAAATAAAATAAAATCTTGAAAGAGACTTTGTGTCTTTGAGATTTCAGGAGGTTTATTTTTATTATTTTTATTTTTATTTAGATAATTAGCACCATGGAGCCACAGGTGTCAAATGGCCCGACATCCAATACAAGCAATGGACCCTCCAGCAACAATAGAAACTGTCCTTCTCCCATGCAGACAGGGGCAGCCACAGATGACAGCAAAACCAACCTCATAGTCAACTATTTACCCCAGAACATGACCCAGGAGGAATTCAGGAGTCTCTTTGGGAGCATTGGTGAAATAGAATCCTGCAAACTCGTGAGAGACAAAATTACAGGTATGGTCTTCTTCAATATTCAAAGCTTAGGATCAGCAGCTATCTGTTCGGTTGAATGTGCAGACCTTAGCAGGAATGCACGCGCGCGCACACACACACACGCACGGTGAATGGTTAATGCATCTGAGTGTCTGCATCGTGTATCCTGCCTTCAGGGATGGCGTGGGAACACAGTCGTAAGCTCCTGCAAGTGTGTACACTACATAAAACCATTCTGCAGATTGGTAGGACTTGGAAGCAGATGAGATTTTGGAGCTTCCTCAAGCTTTACTTTCTGTGAAATAACCCTTTGGTTTGATCCCCTTTTATTCTCAATCAGCCACCCTTTCCCTTTGTTCCATAGTTCTCAGTTCTGCCCTCCACCCTCCCTGTACTCCATGCTAGTTTTTATCTATTCCTTTCCTCTCAAGCATTTGGCTTGTGTGTGTCCAGTGTCTGAGACAGTTTTAATGGGGCGGGGGAGCCATTATCTCCCTCCATAATAGGATGGAGATCACAACTGCCCATTGTCTCTGGGAGAAATAGGCTGTAAGGATAGCAGATTATTCTGGAATAAAACTACTCTGCAGTAGGAGGGAGAAGCTTAATGAAGATCTGTATTTGAGGTATTTTGTTTGTTTTGTTTTGTTTTGAGGATACTCTTTGAGAAGTCGGAGACTTTTTACTTAATAGTAACACAATACCCTTACAATTTCAATACTTGAACATTTTAGCTTCCGATGTTTTTCTAATCAACAGCCATTTGCTGAAGACCTAATGTTTGCCAGACACTGATACTGTAATTCTTTGGAGTGAAGTGTCCCTGTAATCTTTTTGGAAGTGAGAATATTTTCTTAGAAATCTACTGGCTACGTCATGACAGAGTGCAGCTGCTCATCTTTGATGCTCCATTCCTAAAATCATTCCGCCCACCTGAGCATTTGTCATTTTTGAGTGTTGACTTTTGTTTCCTTTTCTCTGGACAGTTTAATTGACAAGCAACTGGCCTATTAAGAAAAAGGAAAGTCTGTCATTAAAATAGGAAGATACATCATCTTGGTTTTAAGTCTGAGAATCCAGTGTATACGTGTGCACATAGCTGTATGTGTTCTCCAATTCTTCTAATTCACTTGTAAATTTGTCTCCTATATAAATTAAGTACCTTGCAAGATCATAAAACTAAAATAACTGTTGAAAATAAAAGTCACATAACCCTCCAAAATTAATTTCCTCATCTATAAAATTGGAAAATAATATTTATTTCAAAGGGCTTATTTTGAGAATTAAGTGAGAGACTGGATAGTGTAACGCCTATTGCATAGTGGTCTCTTAGTAAATGGGAGATGTTGTTATTACAGAGGCATGTGGTATGTTACAAGGAAAGTGGCTGAACAGAGAAATTTTATCAAGGTCTCCAAATAGGACCGGAGCTTTGATGATCTTATCTGAGAACACCGTATCATCCATCCTTTAACAGAATTGCCTGTCCTCTCAGACAGCCAGTGTTTAGATTCCTGAATAATCTTTATATAATAGGATGATAATTCACACAAAATTAAAACCAGTTAAGCATATGATTCTTCCTCCCACTCCTGTATAGAAAATGTATTTTTGGTGTAGCCTTACCTTCTAAATAGGGACTCTGCCAGCTATATTAGTGAATATTATTAATCACCTTTTCAAAAGATTTCCCTTAGAACTGTAGTGAGATTTTTTAAAAGTACTGATTCATGGTGTTGTTCCTTGTTTTCTAAAGACACATGTTTAAACAAGCAGATTCCTTTACTGAAAGAATGCTAATTTGGTAGTTCACCGAGTAGATTTGAATAGGAGTGACAGCTTCGAAGACAGCCTTTAATTTGGTATACAAAACCAAAATTGTCAACTTTGGTTTGTTTAGCACCCTCTCCAGCACAAGCAGAGACAGTAGCATCTGAGCTTAAAGAAGAAGCTTATGGGTTGAAAGCAGAAATATAATTCAGGCATAAATTTATAATTATGCACTTTTTAAATTTCAGGCAAAAAAAATTTTTTTTTATTTGCAGGGAACTTCTGGGAATGAGGCAAGGAAATATATAAGAGAACAGAGATATTTGCCCTCATTTGGTAGCAGTGTTTAATAAAAGTAGAACTTGTGGTTGTAAAGAGTGCTTATTAAATTCTTCATTTACACTACCTAATTAATTCTAGCATTTTAAATTAACAGTGAAACTGGTCCCTGCTGTACCATTCCATAGATGCAGCATATTTCCTCCATCCACCAGTTGTTCAGGTTTAATTGACTACGCTAAAAGTCAGAGAAGGAGGGAGAGAGGGCTGTGGGGAGTTGGGGAAGGAGTGAGAATCGCTCTAATGGAAGACCCTCTGAGGCCTACATTTGGTGGGAGGTGATAACACAGGCTGGGAGAGGCGAGGTGGAACATCAGGCAAGTTGAAAGGCTGCTGCCGGTGGTTCAGAAGTCAGGGTAAATGACATCATAAGTATTTTTGTTGCCCTGATTTTTAACATCCCAGTCCCCCCTTTTCCTCCAACACCTCCTACAGATCTCAATACATCTCGATCCTGTGAAGTTTACAAGGAGTTTAAATATCTAGTGGGAGGATTGGGGGGTGGGAAGTGGCGAAGAGATAAGAATTCAAGATTAAGATTTTCCAGCCCAAACCACTCCCTAAGCGAATGGATTCCCTTAGAAGGTTCCAGCTTATCAAATTAAGAGAAAGAGAGGGGCGCCTGGGTGGCTCAGTCGGTTAAGCAGCCGACTTCGGCTCAGGTCATGATCTCACGGTCTGTGAGTTCGAGCCCCGTGTTGGGCTCTGTGCTGACAGCTCGGAGCCTGGAGCCTGTTTCGGATTCTGTGTCTCCCTCTCTCTGACCCTCCCCTGTTCATGCTCTGTCTCTCCCTGTCTCAAAAATAAATAAAATGTTAAAAAAAAAAAAAAAAAGAGAAAGAGAGACACTCAGAGGAAGAGAAAGAGAGTGAGACTTGTTGTTGAAAGCATTGTAGGTAGGCTGGGTTGGCTCCTGACTGTGGGTTGTGAATGAATTCTCCATTTGAAAACACATAGAGGAAATTTGGGCATGGGCTTAAGTGTTTGGTACTGAGGACATAATTGCTATCATTTATCAGATACTTTATGCTAGGCACTTGCTAAGCACTAGACATACCTTATTTGATTTAACCCTGAGAATAACATCCATTTTCTTAGATGAGGACACTGAAACCTTGTGAGGTCAAGTAATTTCCCCCTGCAAAACAATTATCGCCAGGTGGTGGAGCTGGGGTTAACCCCCAGATTCCAAAAGCATGATTTTATGGGGAAGTATGTGCAGGATGCCCCTGCCTGTGTTAAGTGAAGATCCCCGCCTAACCCTGGCCCCATAACCCAATGAAACATTTTGATCTTCTGAGCAGTAGTTGCTGGCCACCCTCTGGAGATTCTACCTAATGCACCATGGCTTTAAACTAGACTCCTGTGTATAACAGGAGGCAAAGATAACAATATTTATCATCCTCTGGGGATACAACTCAGCCTTCAGAGTAGAACCAAATTTACTGAAAGTGCCAGGTTTAAGATTCTGTTATAGTGCTTTTGGACATCTCTGTTACTTATCTTCTCAGTGATATTAGATTTTCTTTTTCCAATTTTAAAAGGACACTTATCAGGATAATCTAGGTACCAGAGAGAGAAAACATGTCTCCCAACTTGCTTTTGTGTGCAGCCGTGGACACGTGATGGCACAGGAAGCCATGTTCTTCATTTTTCTCTTTCATCCATCTGCAGACTCTGCTGCTGGAGAGAAAGGGACATGGTGTGTGGCCCACGAGCTTTTGTGCAACCTCAAAACTCAGGCAAAAAAACATCAAACTCCTGGTAGAAATTATATTATTCCCATGAACTGCAAAGAATTGAATTAGTTTCTCATTTTTAATTTTGTTGCCCTTTTGTTTTTTCAAGCTTTGAGACTGCATTAGAGATGCTCAGTATTTTAGGGGAGGAAACATGGCTTAGGCAGGATGCAGTTAGATGGCTCAGGGTATGTCTTAAAGCCAGCAGAACTGGGATGCTAAATTACATTTTAATAGTTGTCTACCTCGTTATCACTGCTCTCCAAAAGGAAGACAGAAAGGAGAAAAAAAGTAACAAAGAAAAATCCCCAGAAATGAATCCATGTAAAACAAACAGTTTTGATCTACTTGTCTAGCTCGTGTGATTTTTTGCATTCTAGCGATCAAAAAGAATTTTTACTTGATATTACTCTTCATGTGCCCATACAGTGTAGTTTGTTTTTTTGTTTTTTTTAAATCCCAGTTCAGGCAGGTAAGAGCTCTGAAGGGAGGGTTTTGAGGACGGAGTGGTCCAAACTGAACATTATCTGTTATAAAGCTGAATATATAGAGTGTCCAGGGCATGGAACAGACTGTAAGGACTATAGATGGTTGAGAAAGGGTGAGGTTTTTGTTAGCTGGAGCTGCTGGGAGAGGTTTGAAAGATGAGGTTAGGATTTAGGTAGAGGGAAGAAAAGCAAAGGTATAGAGCTAAAATTCCAGTCTAAGAACAAAAGCCTTTTTTATTCCTTTGTGTTTTGGACACAGGAAGTAGAGCTAGAGTATGCCTCTTAGGACACAGTAGTCTATTATGAAGCAGCATCACCAGATGAAGTTAAGCATACCAAAAAACGAAGCTGGTTAGAGTTGCACCCTGACAAAGACAGCATTTCCTAAACCTCGCCTCTAGCCCATTTTTTTTTCATTTTTTTCTTTATAACACTTGGCTTTGGCTTAATTAATGTTATTCAGTGGAAAAGGCAGAACAACGCAAAAAAGACCCTTCACTGCTGTGGACATCAGGATGAATGCTTTGCCACCACCTTTGTATCTGGAATCACATCTCCAGTTAAAGGAACCAACTCAGTTTTGATTTCATGCCACTGGGTAACTTCTATTCTTTCTCAGATTTGTGAAAGTGCTATTAATCCTGTGTGTCCCTCTCAGTAGGTGACATGTGGGTACAGCAGCGGG